AAGTATTATTTAACTTCAAGACACAACAGCAATACTTTTAATAAATCTTTCGTATTATTAGTACAGTAATGCACTAATACTATTTGTTATAATTGTTCTTTTGTGTAGTACTATATTTGATTACGCATTCGTTGTACTATTTTTGGCCGCTCCCTATCGCTTCAAGTGTTTCGGCCAATCAGAGAAGGCTACAAGCGATATTGAAGATGGGCGATCCACTCCCGCGATTGGCCGAAACCCAAATAAACGTGCTGTGATTGGTGAAAAAGGGCGAAACTGCCAGCTGCTCACTGAATTTTTGCTGCAAGCCGACCCAGCCTCACTTACCAAAAAGACAGCCGCAGGTCACTTGCATTCATTCAAGCAGCCAGCAGCAGCAAACAGCACCCACTACACAAGAGAGCAAGCGAGCAAGGCGCATAACGCCACAGCACACAGCACACAGCCACAACACACAGAGCAATATGAAGGACTCCTCACCCAGTAGCGTCGCCGTGCTTGCACCCAGCACACCCGCTGGCAACCGCCGCCCACGAGCCCAGAGCATGCAGCACTTCGGCGACAAATGCTCAGTACCGCGCGAGTGCTGCAGCTCCGGGTCTTTCGTGAGCAAACTGTACCGAATGGTCGACACAGAGCCTTCCACGATCGTCTCGTGGTGTCGAGGTGCGTTCCTTTTTGTAGCTATTGAGCCTTATTTGAGCTTGTAGATACTCACCGTCTCTCTTCTTGTTGCTACAGGCGGCAGCGCATTCTGCATTGTAGACCCCAAGATGATGGCAGAGCACTGTCTTCCCAAATACTTCCGCCACCGACGCTTCTCGAGTTTGATCCGCCAGTTGAACTTCTACAGCTTCTACCGCGTGCAGGAGGGCCAGCTCACGATCTATCAACACTCTTTCTTCCGGAAGGGCCGTCCCGACCTACTCGTGCATATCAAGCGCCGCGGAGCTGGCAAGGCTAAGGATCCGTGGTTTGACCCCCTGGCCAACACAAGCAGCAAGGCACCGGAGCAGAACACGCCGTCAGTCGTCAACCTGACGCCCATGGGCGGCGCACAGACGCCTACGATGACTCCCACGCCTCTGGGTCTCTCCGCCTGCTACTCACCCATGGCCAAGCCCGTCCAACTGGACAACATGTCACCGGCATTGAAGCCTGCTATGGTTCAAGCCTGTCCGCCATCAGTGGATCTAGGTGGCTCGTACCTGAGCGACGGCCTGATGAAGAAGGACATGGACCACACGTACCCATTACCGTCAGCACTCAACATGAAGAACGAGTTGCTGTTCGGCGACTTGATGGACACGAGTCTGTCGCTCCCCAAGACGTCGAGCGGCTTGTCTGCGCCGTTGGACATCGACATCCAGGACTTTCTCACGGACGACTGCAACATCACACCCGAACAGATCGACGACCGACTGTGCAGTGGCGTCAACCAGAACAAGTGCGCGATGGTCTCGCGCGACTGTCTCAAGTTTGACGATCCGCAGAGTCTGGAGCCGTCGCCTGTGCTGACGAACCAGGAGGATACAGAGTCGGCGAGCTTCGAGGACGAGGTGCTCATGGATCTGGCCAATGTGGAGCCAGGTGCATGGGAAGTGCCTTTGTCTCCGTTGAACGACGAGGAGGACGTGATGCCGTGGCTAGACTTGTGCTTCTAGAGATGCTCCGACCCATTGATAGACCAAGAGAATGTGACGCTGACTATTTAATGCCCCAGCGACGCTGCTCAGCCCCAAGTCTGTCCTCCCCCATCAAGGCCTCCAGGCAAGTTTTCTCTCATCATCGTTCCCGTTATGACTCGAGTCGTAGGATGTAGGCAGGAATTAAGTTAGCAAAGTTATTAAGGCGAGGATTAGGACAGTATGTAAAGTAGGGTAGGCAGCAGAGCTAAGGAAACGAAACACGATGAAAAAAACAAGGATGTTTTATTCGACATTGATGTCCACCGTCGTCGGCATGCAGCTGGTGAGCTGCGGGATAGGCTCATAGGTTGAAGGTTACGCGGAACGTGTATAACTCCTACTCGCCAAACGATAAAGGAACAACATGGTGGCATGGAGATTCATGTGAATCATCGCCAGCTCAGACAAGCCACAACACTCTCTAAATACACCCTCAAAATCGGTTCATTGCTGCTGGCTATCTTACGTTCTTTAGTACTTGAAGACGGACACACGGCCGGCCACCGTCTGCGTGGACTGCCGCGCCTCCTCCTCCTTGAACGCCAACTTGGTCTCCTTCTTTTCGGCGCGTCGAGCCATCTTCTCCATCTTGACAGCAGCCTTACGCGCTCGCTTCTCTTCCTTCGTCTCTCCCTTCTGCCTTCGACTGGTCTCCGCTTGCTGTTTGTTCGCCTTACTCTTAGTCGGCGCCGCCGTCTCGAACACACCCAACGGCATCCCCGTCTTACGCGACAGCGTCACCTTTTGCTTGCGGATATCCTCACCCTCTGCAATACTAGTGATGACGGGCTGCTTCTTCTTCTTACGACGCGTAGGCGCCTCCTCCCGCAGCACCGTCGGGTGGTTGTCCAGCGTCGAGTACGTGCTCACGATGGTCTCGCAGTCCCATTTCTCACGCTCTTCTCGCTGCAGATACTGGTTGCGTTCGAACAATTCCTGCAGCTCCTTCTCTTCACGTTCAGCACGCGCCACGGGGTCCTCAGGCTCCTCTTCGTCCTCAGTCTCGGCGTCCTCGTCGTATTCGTAAGCATGACGCTCAGCCTCGCACTCCTCCAACACCTTCTGAAGTTGGTTACCCGTACGCAGAGGGTTACCCAGTTTACCTTCCGCATCTGCCAGTTCTTGCTGCACAAACGCGTAGTCTTCCACTACAGCAGCCAGCAGCTCTCCATCCAACGTCTCCTTACCCCGAGTCTCCGGATCGTCTTCTTCGAGCTCACCCAGCTGTTCATCGTCGTATTCCTCCGCCAGAGTCTTCTCAAACAACTCATCCAGCACTCGTTGAGCCTCATCACGGTCTTCAGGCGCTTCAACATCGTGCTCTTCTTCATCACTGAACTCTTCCTCGTCCTCACTAAACTCTTCACCCTCACTGTCCGTGATGTTGCCACGATACAGTGGAGTGACACCGCTGGCTGCCTCCATGAGCTTGGCAATGTGAGCATCATAGTCAAAGTCGTCGGCGTCTCCTTGTTCCACACTCTCCTCAGCAGCCTGAACCACAAAATTGTCGTCTAATTCCTCGAACGCCTCGTCGTTCACAAGCGCCTCTCGCAGATCGTCGTCCATGACGTCTGTGGTCAATGTAATGGCGTCTAACAGGCGGTCCTGCTCCTCAGCACTGGGTAATGCATCCTCAGGCAGATCCACTTTCCTCGACAGTGCACGGGCCTCCTCCCCGGCGTCAAAGCGGCTCGTGGCCGAGTAGAATTTGCCCTGTCCCATCTCCTTCATGTGCTGCGAGTAGTCGTAGCCATCTCTAGGCAGACCATTCTCGTCCACGAGGTCCTCAGCCTCCACACCGCCGAAATTCACTCTGCGTACGGGGAAGGCAGACTTGCTCTTGCTCTTGCTCTTGTTCGATTTGGGCTTGGAGCTGCTCTTAACGGGCGCTGGGGTGTCGATGAGATCGGGCATCTCGTCGTCGCTATCCAAGTCCAAGTCCGAGTCATCGTCGGACTCGGAGTCGGAGCGCAGCTCCACGTGTTGGCTGGAGGACAGCAGTACGTACTTGGAGGCCTCCGGGTCGTTGGCCTTGGGATCGCGCTGACTGCGATGCACCACATGAAAGTGCTGCGCCGTCTTCTTGTTGATGAACTGTTTCTTGCGGACCTGTTAGATAGACATGGATGGTTAGCGGGCTGGTCATGAGCAGCAGAGAAGGAGAAGACACTCGCCATGGTGATCACTTGACGCTGCTTTTCACTGG